GCAGGAATGTGTTCCTACAGGAATCGGTGACATTTAAAGATGTGGCTGTGAACTTCACCCAGGAAGAATGGCACCACATGGATCCCGCTCAGAGGCGCTTGTACAGGGATGTGATGCTGGAGAACTATAGCCACTTGGTTTCTCTTGGTAAGGACCACATCTCATTGTCTATGTATTGGTGGGTCTTTCCTTTCTCAGTTGCTGAGGTTGTGGGACTCATAGTTTGGGTGACTGTGAGCAGAGTGTACAGGGTTAGAGCTTGTTCATCTTGCTGGGACCCAGCTTTATGGGTTTCTGAGCCTGCTCTTTAGGTAAAAGGTCTTTCTTTTGCAGAACTGGAAATAGGCCATTTGATTGCATGACTCCTCAAGTTGCACCATTTTTTCCCTTCAGAGTTCCTGAGGATCAAGGCCTAGTACTGACTTGTAGAGGGTTCTTTGTCTACTTGCACAAACAACCAAATCTTGTGTATTTACCCATGAGCAGGATATCAAGTTTCCAAGCCAGAGGTGATCTTCAAATTGGAGCAAGGAGAAGAGCCATGGATAGCAGAGGGAGAAATCCAAAGACCTTTCTGTCCAGGTAAATGAGGGAGAATCAAGCATGTAGGACAATGGCACAGCTGAGGGAGAGGGAAGCACCTTCAGATTGCTGCCTTGGGAGCGCCTAGACCTGTAGAAGAGGTTGGACCGTCTCCTGGATGACACCTCTGTATGTCTCCCTTCTCCATTAGGGTGTCTTGCTGCTGGTAGGTCTTGGAAGAAAAGGTACCTCTTTTTCCTTTCTGAAAGTAACCCTTTGTCCTACACTCCGAATACCATCTCTCCCTATCCTATATCCCTACTTCTGGATTATTTTCTCCCTTGGTGTCCTCAGTCCCCCTTCATTATTTAGAGATCTCTTTTCTTACTCATTCAGACATTAATTGAACTTCCATGTCTCCTCCTTGTTTTTTCTTGCTGCTTTCACTGTTGAATGCCCCAGACTTGTAGGAAATACCCATAACCTTGATCCTCCCTCCCTCCAGACTTCTTTCCCTGACTGCACTCCTGTACCACCTGTCTGGCGAGCAACACCATCCTCCTTCCGTCCTGCACTCCTGTCCATTTTCTCCCTCCACAGTTCCTGCAGTATCATCCTCTCCTGGTTTCCCCACTCATTCAGTGCTTCTTGGCTTTGGGTCTTTGGCTTTTCTTGCTTTTCCCTCTTAGTGAATCTACCTTAAGGAGCCTGCCTTCCGGCTTCCTCTCCTTTCTTTCTGTATTACCTCCCTATAAAAGGGTGCCTGCCTTCTGGTAGTTGCAGCTCTTTATTGTGTGCTGTAGACTCAGAATCATCCTTACTTGTACCCTGGTCACTTTTATTTTCTTCTCATAGGACCCCTCCACTTGTAAGTCCCACAACGTTCTTATTAGAGGTGTAAAATCTAGATTAATCATCTTGCATCTCCAGTCAGCACATTTTGCTACATTGCCATTATCCATTTCTCCCCTTGCCCATTAGAAATTACCAGGATTCCAGTCCCTCGGGCCAGACACCATAGTCAGTCTAGTCTTTCTCTTTCAACCCAAGTTATTTTTCTCCTTTGAGAAGTATCTTAGGTTTTCCTCCCTTTTAACTTGGACTGGTGACATCCTAAACCAAACCCCAGACTTAGATTATTATAATTCCCAGACTTAGATTATTATAATTCCCAGTTGAAATTGCTCACTGAATCTTATCTTTTTGTAATCCATACTGGATTTTTTAAATCATACTTTTATTGAGATATAATTCACATACCATAAAATTCACCCTTTTAAAGTGTACATTTCAGTGGTTTTGGATATGTACAGAGTTGTGCAGCCATCACCACTATCTAAGCAGCACATGTTCAACACCCCAATAAGAAATCTTATACCCATTAGCAGTCACTTTCCACTCCCCATACCCCCCAGCTCCTGGCAACCATTAATCTACTTTTTATCTCTATGGATTTGCCTATTCTGGATATTTTCTATATATGGAATCATAATATGTAGCCCTTTGTGACTGGCTTCTTTCACTTAGCATAATGTTTCGAGGTTCATTCATGTTGTAGCATGTATTAGAACTTCATTCCTTTGTATTGCTGAGTAATATTTTATTGTATGGATATATTACATTTTGTTTATCTATTCATCACTTCATGGACCATATTGGATTTTAATGCTTTATCTTCCTAAACCAGCCACCTCTGAAAGAACTTTGCTATTACTCCCTGTACCTCATTATAGGAAGCAGAAACTCCCTTGATTTAAAGGTCCCCATCATCGCTTCCAGTATTATCTTTCTAATCCTGCTAAAAAAAGCTCCACCTAGGTTGAACTTTTTCTTGATGTTCTCCGTAAGTAGCATATAGTTTCTCTCATTAGATAGTACTTTGTGCCTATCCAAAGCCATCTATTCTTTAAGTTCAAGGTCTGTCTAATCCATAAAACTTAATATATGCTAATATATTTTATTTGTTTCTTCCCTGATCCAAATCACAAATACCATTTATATCATCTTTACCACACAAATTCAGATTTAATATGTGCCATCTGATGGGTTTTTTCTTAGTCGTCAAAAGATTGTCTTGTTTTTATTCTTAGATTTTTAAGCTCCTGGAGAGTCTATTTATTATATTTCTAAATATTTTCTATTTGTATTGCAGAGCATATAGAAGGCAGTCAGAAAATTACTTGATTGATTGTTATGGAATCTTGCTGGGAGAGAACTTTCTCATTCATTCATTTCAACAAACATTTCTTGACTGTCCCACTGAGAAGGATTCTAAAAGGAATACAAAGCATTCTCTGTCCTCAGAAATTTAGAATTGAGTCTTGTTCCAGGGTAAGGAATTTGGGAGTTTAGGGCTCCTTAGTTACTGGGGGTTTTTTTCCCCTCCTAATATTTTATTATGCAAATTTTCAAACATTTGAGAAGTTGAAAAAATTATACAGTGAACACCATATACCTACCACCATGGTTCTATAGTTGTTAACATGTTGTTATATTTGCTTTATCACATATCTCTTCGTCTGTCTGTCTATTAATCTGTCTTACCTTTGATGCATTTCCTAGTGAGTTGCAGACATGAGTACATTTCACCCTTACATGCTTCAGCATGTATATCATTGACTAGAGTTCAATATTTGTTCATAGTTCTTTTTTTTAGAAAATATTATATACAGTGAAATATATACCTCTTATATATGTACCATCCATTTGATTTTGACAAGTGCATTCTCCCATCCAACCCAAACTTCTGTTGATATGGAACATCTCCATCATTCCAGAAACCTCCCTCCCCTTAGTTTTTAAAAGGTTACCTTTCTTAGAACCTAGACATTAATTATTTTCTGTTATTAGTATTCTGATGTTAAACAGAGGTTTAGAGATCAGTTTTTTAGGCAGATTAAAATAAGTTGTTTTTGTTTAAGAGAGAGGTGATTAATGTAGAATCAGAACTCAAATAGACTAAAATCACAGCTCCGTGTGTAAGGGCAAGGATGATTTGCCTCCTGAAATATTACTTTTTTTTCTCTTTGGGAAGTATAGCCCTTGATCTTGAGTTATGTCAAAGAATCATTTCAGTTAGATCACTGGCTACAGATTTTCTCTGCAGGGTTTGAAGATCTGAAGCCTCAGAGGTGACTTTAAAGAAATTATGAAATGAATGTATTAGGAAGATAGATTCCGTGGCAGTTTGTGAAATGTACGGGAGGCATGGATAGCAGATAGGACTCTGCAAGACGGACCATGATCCTATTCCATTTGTATCTGTGCCTAACTCTCTCTTGCTCACCTGTTCCCTACTCCCTAATAAGCCCTCCTACATGGGCTTCCTCATTCTGGACTTGTTCTTCTCTCTGGATCTGCAGTCTGCATTGTCACCTCTCTCCACTCTTCCTTTCTCCATTTTGGGTCTTCTCCTGAAGCTACCGGACTAATTTCAAAACAGAGTGATGTATAACTTATATCTCTTTCACTTCCTCATTCCTGTAGCAGTTTGTTTTAACAGGAGGGAATAGGGGACTTTTGCACTTTGGATTTCTTTCAGACTGGAGGACCAGGCCTGAAGCCAAATCTTCAAATCTGCAGCAGAGCATATCTGAAGTATCCCTTAGCACAGATGATCCCTCATGTGCCACGTTAGAAGACACTTGGGATGTTAATGGCCAGTTAGAGAGGCACAAGGAAAACTGGAAGAGACATTTGGGGCCAGATGCATCCACCCAGAAGAAAATAATCACACCAGAGGAAGCTTGTGAGCAAAATAAATTTGTTGAAAATTCTAGGTTGAACACAGACCTGGTTACACAACTGAACATTCCTCCAAGGTCTAATGAATGTGATACACTTGGGAGCAATTTGGGACATAATTCAGACTTACTCAGTCAGAATAATATCCTTGCAAAAAAGAAACCTTATAAATGTAATAAATGTAGAAAAGCCTTTATTCATAGGTCATCACTGACTAAACATGAGAAAACTCATAAAGGAGATGGAAGTTTCCCCAACGGTACAGATCAGGGAATGTATCCTGGAAAGAAACACCATGAATGTACTGACTGTGGGAAAACCTTCCTCTGGAAGACACAACTTACTGAGCATCAGAGAATTCACACCGGGGAGAAACCCTTTGAATGTAATGTGTGTGGGAAGGCCTTCAGGCATAGCTCATCCCTCGGTCAGCATGAGAATGCTCATACTGGAGAGAAACCCTATCAGTGTAGTCTCTGTGGGAAAGCCTTCCAGCGCAGCTCCTCCCTTGTTCAACACCAGAGAATTCACACTGGAGAGAAACCATATCGATGTAATTTGTGTGGTAGGTCGTTTAGGCATGGCACATCCCTCACTCAGCATGAGGTCACACATAGTGGAGAGAAACCCTTCCAATGTAAGGAATGTGGGAAAGCCTTTAGTCGGTGTTCTTCCCTTGTCCAGCATGAGAGGACTCACACAGGAGAGAAACCTTTTGAATGTAGCATATGTGGGAGGGCTTTTGGTCAGAGCCCATCCCTTTATAAACATATGAGGATTCATAAGAGAGGCAAACCTTACCAAAGCAGTAACTACAGCATAGATTTCAAGAGCTCATCTCTTACTCAAGATGAAAACACTCTCACTGAAGTGAAATCCTATCATTGCAATGACTGTGGGGAAGACTTCAGTCACATTACAGACTTCTCTGACCATCAGAGGATCCACACTGGAGAAAACCCCTATGATTGTGAGCAGGCCTTTAGTCAACAATCTATTTCTCACCCTGGCGAGAAACCCTATCAATGTAATGTATGTGGGAAAGCTTTCAAAAGGAGTACGAGTTTCATAGAGCATCACAGAATTCATACTGGAGAAAAACCCTATGAATGTAATGAATGTGGAGAAGCCTTCAGTCGACGCTCATCACTGACTCAACATGAGAGAACCCACACTGGAGAGAAACCCTATGAATGTATCGACTGTGGTAAAGCCTTTAGTCAGAGTTCATCCCTCATTCAGCATGAGAGAACTCATACTGGAGAAAAACCCTATGAATGTAATGAATGTGGGCGAGCTTTCCGAAAGAAAACTAACCTGCATGATCATCAGAGAATCCATACTGGAGAAAAACCCTACACTTGTAAGGAATGTGGGAAAAACTTCAGTCGAAGCTCAGCTCTTACTAAACATCAGAGAATTCATACACGAAATAAACTCTAGGAACCTTGACATTAGGGAATGTGCCAAAAGCTTTAGCTAAAGTATTGTTCTTATTCAGTATCAGAGGATTCTTACTGGAGAGAAAGCTTGAGAATGTAATGAATTGTGTGTGTGTGTGTGTGCACATTGTGTGTGGAGAAAGCTCTGTGCTAGTAGACAGTGTTTTTTTAATAAAAGCCACATTCTCTGGGACTTCCCTGGTGGTCCAGTGGTTATAAGACTCCACGCTTCCAACTGCAGGGGGCACAGGTTCGATCCCTAGTCAGTGAAGATCCTGCATGCCATGTGGTGCAGCCAAAAAAGAGGGAAAAAAAAAAAAAGGAAAAAAATAAATAAAAGCCACATTCTCAGATCTGATTTCAGACGTGTGTAAAAACAACTACAAACATATAACCTATTAGAAATGGTATGCCTATATATTGGACTTTGTAAATCCTTTGAATATATATTTGCAGGAGATCACCAACTTTCAACAATTTAACTTGTAACTCGCACTGTTTACAGCCTTTTTAAAAAATAAATAAAACTCCCATGGTAGTGACCAAAACTCATTTTTAAATTGCTTGACAGCTGCATTCAACTGCAGCTCTTACGTTAAATTTACCATGGAAACCAGTTTCACCTCCACGAATTCACCATTCAGAGAATTAGATCAGCTGGTCCAACCGCTTCATTGTACAGATGAAGAAACTGAAAGCCAAAGATGTGAAGTGGTTGCACAGCATGAAAAAGTTTATAGCGGCAAAGCTGGGTGGAAAATGCAGGTCTCCTGGATCTTTGGCCCCATGGTCTTGCCACTGAAAAGATATTTTGGAATTCAGGGCTTTAAAATAAGTTTTAAATCAGATGCACAAATATTTAATGAACGCTCAGGAGTTGAATACTTTGGGAATTCATAAAAGCATAAGGGGCAGCAAGACATATGCAAATTTGTCACACACTTATTTAAAGCAGTTTGTTGGAAGCTTACAAACCAAAATGTTAACAGAAATTGTAAATAGTTGAACGACTAATGACTTTTTCTTTTCCCAAGTATTATACTTCAGCTAAGGTATGTCAGTTTCATAGAATTATTAAGTCTTCCTACTGTGCTTTTTGTGATCCTCCCATGAAAAAGCACTGCCCCAAGCTTCCTGTATTGATTTGATCAATGGGAAAACAACACAGAACTAAGAGAAAAAAAGTTCCCCAAATTGGGCTTCCCTGGTGGCGCAGTAGTTGAGAGTTCGCCTGCCGATGCAGGGGACACAGGTTCGTGCCCCGGTCTGGGAAGATCCCACATGCCGCAGAGCGGCTGGGCCCGTGAGCCATGGCTGCTGAGCCTGCGCGTCCAGAGTCTGTGCTCTGCAACGGGAGAGACCACAACAGTGAGAGGCCCGCGTGCCGCAAAAAAAAAAAAAAAAAGAAAATTCCTTGAATTAATTTTACTGTAGAGAAGTATAAATCCAATTATCCATTGCCATAAAATTTGCCTTTAAATCAGTTTAGGGAATCATGTAGTGGGTCATTTTGTGTGCCAAGGAAATTTTAACCATTAAAAAATTAACTTTTATGGCTCTGTGGTGCTTTTCCATCAGTAAAGCATGAGGTAAGCTTCAATAGCCCACTCTAATCCTTAATATCCCCTAAAGCCTCCCATGGCCTATTCTAAAGGAATTTCCAGAATCTTTGTTCGTTCATTGGCACCAGTAGTGCAGATAAATTTGGAAGCAACTGTAGAAATTGACCCCTTTCATGAAAGAGCAGACTCTGTTCCCTCCAAGATAAGCACATTTTCCTGCCCTAATGATGAATCCTGGGGAGGAGTGATATGGGGTGGTGTTGATGGTGAACCTTTCCTACTGGCTTCTTTGCCTGCCAGGTGGCAGGATCCATCATTTTTGTCTCATCCTGGACAACATGAGGCAGCTCCCAAACATCCTTCGTAATTCTCTGCAGGAAAAATGTGCTTGGGGCCTGAAATGTGGGGAGTCCAGCCCAGTGAGTTTGTCGTATGTGGAGCAAGATGGGATGCTCTATAGCAGATCTGCCCTTCCAAGACTTTAACCATTCAAAAATACCTTGTTTATGATGTTCCACGCTTAGCATACACCACAATGCCAAGACCGAGCCTGTGTTGTCTGATACATAGTTTGACAATGGGCAATTCTACTCGGAACCTCCTCTACTGATTGGCTAGGATGCCTATCAGGAACTCATTTTTCTGTTGATTGTCTGGGGATCCCCATAGTGGACTGTTTGCAAGAATGGCATGAATTGTAACCAGTTGAGTGCTACGCAGCTGTTGTGGAAGTTTATAAAGACTTAGTTCCAGAAGACCTAAAGGAGACCACTGGTTTGTGTGTGGAGCCTGGCCTAGATCCACCCAGTCTCTGAATCTCAGCATGTCATCATTGGCAGGGAGGGCGCCCAGGATGTATGTATGGGTGACAGAGCAGAGAATTCTCTAGTCCCAGCAACCATGCACCATGCACTTAATGAACACCCAGCTTCTAGGCCATATGAAATACATCCTTGTAACATCGTTGTATTATTTCAATAAATAGCCTTCTTAGTTGAATGGGAGTCAGTTTGTCTTTTTCCATTTTCAGAACTTGGCTAAGATTAAAGAGTGGTGCATCAAGGAAGAGGGATTAACTGCTAAACTCATCACAGCCAGGTGAGTTAATAGCATTTATTGATTGCTTACTACTTGAAAGACATTGTGCTAAGTACTATATAGCCATCATTTCATGTAATCCTTACGGGTCCCCTAATAGGTCTTGTGGTGTCTTGTCTTTGCCCAGCTTTTTCCCCCCCTCTTCCTCTTGTAACAATCCCTGCTGTACTGACCACAGGAACACAAGTCAGGACATCCTGGGGCTCAATGATAGTTCCAGGAACAATTGAGCCAATCAGAGTCCTTTGACAGAATTTTTTCAAAATAGACTTAGCAAGGATACTTTAATTTGAGGTTGCTAGGCTGGTAAGGTGAAGGCCTAAAGTTGCCTGGAGGCTGATTCCTTACCAGAGAGGGGAGGTCTGTTGTAGCAGGAGAGGATGTAGCCGCCATGGTGGTGTTCTCATTTCTCATTCCTAAGGTCCTTGGACTGGGCTCAATTTCTGAAGCTCTTCTGGGATTCAGTGGGCTCCCCACTATCAGTTGAATGAGTCCCCCTTTGTTATATTTCTGTTGCTTGCATTAAAGAAACTTAATGCATGTATTATATCTTTGTTTTATAATGGGGAGAAAAACACAGAGAGGTAAAGTACTGCCCATGGCAGATTCAGACTTGGAACCCAGAACTGCCTGGCTGCAAAGGCAGAGCTCTTAACCTCTAAATTTCATGTCTCCAGAGCCATGTTATGTTCAAAGAGATGCATGTAACACAGTGTCGTTTGGGGGTGAATGGATGAAGGGATATGGTGATAGGTTAGACGGGAGACCAAGTGGAAGCAAAATGATGAAGGGCCTTGGAATGTTTTTCTTGACTGTTTCAGTAAATTAAATCCCCCAGATACACCCACACCCTCACACTTTAATATATCAGTTATTTGCATTTGCCTAGACTGTAGATAAAATCTTGTCTCATACTTAAATAAAAAACTCCTTACAAATATTTTTCATGTTGCTACACAGTCTCATGATCCCATTAACAAACTCGCTACTGTTGGAATAATATTTGGATAGTTCGGGGCATTGGATTTATAATAATGACATTGAATACTTTCACCTTTTTAAGCACCCCCACTTTTTTTTTCTATAGAAATTTTTCTTAAAATATCCAGAGTGAGATAAATATCCAAAATGGGATTACTGGGTCAGCATGTATAGGTAAGTATAACCAGGTGTGAGATTCATGCAAGAATAAACTAGTTATAGTAGTGCAGGAGTAATAACTTCAAAATTGCAAAAGGGAAACAAGAGAAAACCAGTCTCCTACTCCTGGTGCCTGGGTGTACGTGGGGAAGGGCCCCAGGGCAGGCACTATATCTGCCAGAGCATCTAGCACTTCTCTGTGCCAGCATGGATGATAAAGCAATTCTGCAGTTATTAGGCATATTGATGCTGGTGATGCTCGGTTTTTTATAGCTGCAGTGGGCTTTTATAAATACTGAACTAGTTAATTCCTACCTGTTAAAAATGCAAATGTCACATCACGGAAGGTTTTAGTGACTGGCTAAATTGGTCTCCTTTTAAATTTTCATGGATTATTGTTAATGTCCTTCACCTTACCACGATTTGTATTTTTGATTATTTGATTTTCTCCCCACCCCACAGTAGATTGTGAGTGCCAGGAAGGCAGAGTCCACATCTATTTTGCTAACTTTTTCTTTGTTCCCTTGATTATCACAATGCCAGGCACACAATAGGTACTTAATATAGTCTTGTTAGCAGTATTGTGGAGATGTGTTGATAGAGAAAGAAGACTAGCTTTTCAAAATGAGAAGATGCTCAATCTTGAAACCAGAATACTGCAAAAGAAAACAGTGAGATACTATTTCATATCCATTAGGCTGGCAAAAAATTTAGTTAGAAGTCTGGCAGGGGGAAAATGAGAACTGTTATACACTGCTAGTGAGAAGGTTAATTAGTATAATCATTTGGGGGAGTAATTTGGTAATATCCAGTAAAATTGAAGTTAAGCATACTTGATGACCCATTGGTTCCACTTCTAGATCTATGTGGTAGAGTAGAAGTACTCCCATGTGAGCACAAAGACATGTACAAGGATGATTATTGCAGCAGTGTTTGAAATAGTAAATATATGGACACAGCACAGATGTCTGACAGTAAGTGAATGGGTTAATAAACAGTGGCATATTCTTAATATAATACAGTACTTCAGTAAAGGAACCAGAGCATCTGGAAACAAAAAACATTCTAACTCTCCTGCTCCTGTACCCATGCAGCTAAATGTGGCTGCAGGAAACAGAGCCACAGTGATTAGTCCCACTTTAAATCCCTGACTGCTAAGCTCAGGCATTTGTTTCCCTAGTCCAGTCGTTGTGCCAGTCTC